TATTTTATTTTATTTCATTTTATTCTATTTTAAAATTTTATTTAACTCTATTTAATTCTATTCTAGTCTATGCTATGCTATTCTATTTAATTCTATTCTATGCTATGCTATTCTATTCTATTTCATTTTTTAATTATATTTCATTTTGCTGTATATTTAATTTAATCGCATTTGATTTAAATTAATTTCATTTATTTCATTATCACTTCCTCATTTTACATCTTGGTTCATGTCATTTAATTTAATTTCATGCCAGTTTCTCTTTTATTTGTTTAGTATTTAGTATCAGTCTGTCAATTATAACAAATGGGTGTATATATCTGTATTATTTACTTAATTATCAACCCTATTTATTTATCCATCTGCTTCCATATCCAAACATTTTCCTGGTATTTATTTAATGAATATTTTTATTTATCAGGTCTTTATTTACCAGGTCAACTCGCTATCACTACTGTTTATTGTCTATATTATTTTATTTGCCAATGCTTATTTATTTATCTGCTTATTTTAAAAACGATTTTTTATATTAATTAATGTTTGTTTGTTTGCCCCCAGGAGTTTCAGAGGGCCCAAGACCCCGTGGCAGGACTGGGGGCTCAGAAGATTCCCGGTGAGCTGGGGGGGGAACCCAGGCTGGGAAAGGGGAATTTGGACATTTTCTCCATTTCCCAAACCTCCTTCTGGTTTAAAATCCGAATTTCCAATTCCTGTGTCCCTTTAAAATCCAAATTTCCAATTCCTGTGTCCCTTTAAAATCCAAATTTCCAATTCCTGTGTCCCTTTAAAGGCCAAATTTCCAATTCCTGTGTCCCTTTAAAATCCAAATTTCCAATTCCTGTATCCCTTTAAAGGCCAAATTTCCAATTCCTGTGTCCCTTTAAAATCCAAATTTCCAATTCCTGTATCCCTTTAAAGGCCAAATTTCCAATTTTCTTGGCTGTTAAAGCCACGGATCTTCCAAATCTCCTGACAATTTTAAGGCCAGCGAAAATGAGCCAAATTGGAATAAAATAGACATATGTACATATACAAACAGACATATATAGACACAAATATACATATAGATACATATATACACATATATATTCACATATATATATGCGTATATATGTAGATTATATGTGTATATATGTAGATATACATATATATGTATATATATGTGTCTTTATGTACATATATATATTAATTATATATATAATATATTTATTTACACATATATATTAAAAATATATGTACATATATATACATATAGACACATGTATAAATATATATACATATATATGCTCATATACATATATATACTCATATACATAGATACACACATAAAAATATATACATACACATATGCACATATATAAAATATATAGATTTTACATATAAACCTAAATATAAATGATAAATATATATAATATAATATAATATAATATAATATAATATAATATAATATAATATAATATAATATAATATAATATAAAGATATATCTATATATATAATATATAAAGTACATAAATTATTTATAAATATATTTCTAAATTATTACAAACATATATAAGTCTATATTTATATATACATAATATATATAAATAATGCAAATAAAAGTATATAATTATATATATACACATATAAAAATATATCTACACATATATATCTCCACACATATATAAATACATATATATACATAGACATATATATACATATATATGTACATTTATGCAGCTATATATGGAAATATGTATAAATATCAATATATATGTAGATATATATTTATATATAAATATGTATATGTATATATATACATATATACACATATATAAATATATATATATATGTATGTATGTATATATATGTGTATTTTCCTCCGTTTTCCCTCCCCAGGCTGAGGTTTGGGATGTGGCTGCTCCCGGACGGGGCCGGAGCATTCCCGGGATCCTGAGCGGAGCCGGAGCAGCGCCGGAGGCTCCCATGGAGCAGGAGGAGACCCCCGGGCCCCCGCCGGAGGCCGCGGCTGGGGACGGAATTCCCGGAGCTGGGGACGGAATTCCCGGAGCTGGGGACGGAATTCCTGGAGCTGGGGACGGAATTCCCGGAGCTGGGGACGGGATTCCTGGTGTTGGGGACGGAATTCCCGGAGCTGGGGACGGAATTCCCGGAGCTGGGGACGGAATTCCCGGAGCTGGGGACGAGATTCCCAGTGCTTGGGGCACAATTCCCAATACTGGGGACGAGATTCCTGGTGTTGGGGACGGAAATCCCGATACTGGGGATGGAATTCCCAATGTTGGGGATGCAATTCCCAGTACTGGGGACGGAATTCCCAGTGTAGGGGATGGAATTCCCAGTACTGGGTACAGAATTCCCGATGTTGGGGTTGCAATTCCCGGTACCAGGGAGACAATTCCCAATGTTGGGGATGCAATTCCCAGTGCCGGTGACACAATTCCCGGTACTGATGATGGAATTCCCAATGTTGGTGACACAATTCCCAGTACCGGTGACACAATTACTGGTACTGGTGATGAAATTCCCAATGTTGGTGACACAATTCCCGGTGCTGGTGACACAATTCCCAGTACCGGTGACACAATTCAGGGTACTGGTGATGAAATTCCCAATGTTGGGGATGCAATTCCCAGTACTGGGGACGCAATTCCCAGTGTAGGGGATGGAATTCCCAGTACTGGGGACAGAATTCCCCATGTTGGGGATGCAATTCCCGGTACCAGGGAGACAATTCCCGGTACTGATGATGGAATTCCCAGTGTTGGTGACACAATTCCCTGTGCTAGTGACACAATTCCCAGTACCGGTGACACAATTCCCGGTACCGGTGACACAATTCAGGGTACTGGTGATGAAATTCCCAATGTTGGGGACACGATTCCCAATACCGGTGACACAATTCCCAATGTTGGGGACACGATTCCCGGTACCGGTGACACAATTCCCAGTACCGGTGATGAAATTCCCAATGTTGGGGACACAATTCCTGGTACTGGTGACGGAATTCCTGGTACTGGTGACACAATTCCCAGTACCGGGCAGCGGGAAGGGGGGTCCGGCCCCGAGGGACCCCCGAGGGGCTCCCCTGAGGTGCAGCCCCTGCAGGAGTGGGGGTCTCCCCAGGAGTTGGGGTCCCCATGGGAATGGGGGTCTCCCCAGGAGTTGGGGTCTCCCCGGGAGTTGGGGTCCCCCCGGGAGTTGGGGTCTCCCCAGGAGTTGGGGTCTCCCCGGGAGTTGGGGTCTCCCCGGGAGTTGGGGTCCCCGCCGGCCGCCCCCCGGGCCCGGCCCCCCGCCCGGGATGAGGATTTCTACTGCGTCAAGTGGATCCGTTGGAAAGGGCAGCGGACGCCGGTGGTGACGCAGAGCGAGAACGGGCCCTGCCCGCTCCTGGCCATCCTCAACATCCTCCTCCTGCAGTGGAAGGCAAGCGGGGCCCGGGGGGGCTCGGGGGGACCCCGAATCCCCAGGGGAAGGGGCCCGGGGATGTTCCTCAGCCCCCTCTGGCCGCCCCCAGGTGAAGCTGCCCCCGCAGAAGGAGGTGATCACGGCCGAGGAGCTGATGGCACATCTGGGTGAGTGGGGACCCACAGCCCTGCTCTGGGTCAGGAGTGGGGTGGGGGCTCTGCTGGGACCCCCACGTTCCTGCCCCAGTGCCACTGGGACCCCCACATTCCCACCCCAGTGGGACCCCCACATTCCCACCCCAGTGCCACTGGGACCC